ATAGTATCTCACAGTATACCCATCTGGTCCTGGACTTTTCCCTGCCATAGTACTCTTCAGTGCACTATAAATTTCTTCTTCTGTTATTGCTCTCTCTAGGGATATTAACTGCTCCTCTCTCAATTTCGGTAACCCTGACTCTTCTAGGTATATCTGTCTTTTTTTTAATTCTTCCTCATCTCTTATGGACTGTTGGGGATTGATATATTATATAATTTACTATAATATTTTTTAAACACTTTTGCGATATTTTTGGTAGAATATTTTAGTTCTCCTTTATTGTCTCTTATTTTCTCTATGTAATTCCTACCCTTCTTCTTTGAGCTCTCATTAGGAATTTTCCTGGCCTATCTCCCCTCCAGTATCTTTCACTACTCATCTTATTAAACACTCTCCTTTTTTCTTCCTCCATTAATTTGTTTAGTTCTTCTTTTTTTCAATATCTTCTGCTTATTCTTTTTTGTTATATTTCTTTTTATGCACCCGTTCTGATTCAAATAATTATCTATTTAACTGTATTAATTCTCTCTTTCCTTTCCTTTTTCTTTTTTACCCCAATCGCTATTAAGATTCCTCTAATATATACCTTGTGGGCTTCCCAATCAGTCACCACCGACACCTTCTCAGTCTCATTTCTTTCAAAATATAATTCTATTTCTCTTTTAATTATCTGTTCCATCTCCTGATCCTGAAGAAGTGTCTCATTTAATCTCCAAGTATTTACCTTTTTTTGTTCTCTTCCCCATTTTAACCTTATTGTGACAGGTGCATGATCGGATAGCGTTATAGTTTCTATCCTTGCTTTCACCAAAGACTGTATAAGTCTATGGTCTAGCAATATATAATCCATTCTTGAATACGTCTCATGTGCGTGAGAATAAAATCTCTATCCCTTAGATTTTTAATTATCCAACTATCAACCGACTGACAATATTGTATCGTTTTCTTTAATTCTTTCAAATGTTTGTTCCCCTCTCTCAACACGAGATGTTGAGTCAAATTGTAGTTCCATGCAACAATTAAAATCTCCTGCCACAATTAGTTTACCTTTTTTAAATCTAGTAGCTTCTTCAGTATGTTCTTTAGATAGGCCTCTGATTTTTTTTATTGGGGCAATATATATTTGCCCATGTACATTCTACCTCTTGCAATTTCCCCTTTAAGAATAAAAATCTCCCCTCCGGATCCTCCATTTTATCTTCCAAACAGAAACTTACATTTTTCGCAAACCCAATTGCTACCCCTTTAGCACGTTAATTGGGGAGTCTGCATAGTACCATACTGGGTAGTGCTTAGAATGTAATTTCACATTTGTTTCTTGGATTAGATGTGTCTCCTGTATAAACACCACCTCTATAGATCTTTTTTGTATTTCTCTAAATATCTTAAATCTTTTCTCCCAACTGTTTAGCCCTTTAACATTGTAAGTCATAAAATTAAACCTCCTCCATTACTATATATATTTTCCATTCTTTCTTTCCCCAGGATTCTCCTTAATTCTTTTATCTCCTTTCTTTTTGCTGAGTATCCCCCTTGTCCCTTTGCCCTCCCCTCTCACCCTCCCTCCCTCCCACCTCACCCTCCCCCCCCTCACCCCCTCTCCCCTTCCCCCTTCTTCCCCCTCCCTCTCCCCCTTCCCCCTCTTCCCCCTCCCCTCTCTTCCCCTCTTCCCCCTCTTCCCCCTCCCCTCTCTTCCCCCTTTCCCCCTTCCCTCTCTTCCCCCTTTCCCCCTCTCCCTCTCTTCCCCTCTTCCCCCCTTCCCCTCTTCCCCTCTTCCCCCCTTCCCTCTCTTCCCCCTCTTCCCCTCTCCCCTCTTCCCCCTTCCCCCCTTCCCCCTTCCCTCTCTTCCCCCTCTTCCCCCTTCCCTCTCTTCCCCCTTCCCTCTCTTCCCCCTTCCCTCTCTTCCCCCTTTCCCCCTTCCCTCTCTTCCCCCTTCCCTCTCTTCCCCCTTCCCTCTCTTCCCCCTTCCCTCTCTTCCCCCTCTTCCCCCTTCCCTCTCTTCCCCCTCTTCCCCTCTCTTCCCCCTTCCCCTCTTCCCCCTTCCCTCTCTTCCCCCTTCCCCTTTCCCTCTTCCCCTCTTCCCCCTTCCCTTCTCTTCCCCCTTCCCTCTCTTTCCCCCTTCCCTCTCTTCCCCCTTCCCTCTCTTCCCCCTCTTCCCCCTTACCTCCTTCCCCCTCTTCCCCCTCTACCTCCCTTCCCCCTCTTCCCCCTTACCTCTCTTCCCCCTTACCTCTCTTCCCCCTTACCCTCTCTTCCCCCTTACCTCTCTTCCCCCTTACCTCTCTTCCCCCTTACCCTCTCTTCCCCCTTACCTCTCTTCCCCCTTACCTCTCTTCCCCCTTACCTCTCTTCCCCCTTACCTCTCTTCCCCCTTACCTCTCTTCCCCCTTACCTCTCTTCCCCCTTACCTCTCTTCCCCCTTACCTCTCTTCCCCCTTACCTCTCTTTCCCCCTTACCTCTCTTCCCCCTTCCTCTCCTCCCACCACCCTCCCCATCCCTTAGACTACCTTTTTGTCTACGAATCATTTGTGGTTCCTATACCACCCTTGATTCAAGTTTAAGGTGGTGCTCCGACCACACACGGTTTATCAGCCACCCATCCTCCTCCGTGCCCTGTCCCTCACTATATCTCATGCGTCTTTGATGGTCCTTCTATATGAGAGGACTGGGGCTAAAAAAAAAAAAAAAAAAGAGGGGGAAAAAAAACCCCCCTCTCTATTCTCTATTCCTCCTCCCAACTACTTGCCAATTTTCTTTTCCCATAGCCCCTATCTCTCCTTCCTCCTCTTCCCACCCAGGTATCACCATTTTCTCTAATTCAAGTCTCTCACAAAAGTCTCTCAAATCTTCAGGAAATCTTAGTCTTGCTGTCCTTCCGTTTTTCCATCTGATCAAACACGCCGGGAAGCTCCATCTTTATTGCACATTTTGCTTCTTCATCTGCTCTAATAATGGTTTCAGAGATCTCCTTCTTGTCAGTGTCTCTACTGCTAGGTCTGAAAAAATCGGAATATTTGTTTCTCTATACTTAATCAATGCTCTTCCTTTTATTTTCTTCCATATCTCTTCTTTATCCCTAAGATTATGGAATCACACAATTATATCTCTTGATTTTTCTTTATCCCTTTTTTGTTGGAGCTTTCCTATTCTATACACACTGTCCAATTTAAGTGTCTCTGATACCGATCTGTCCATTATAGTGTTCAGGATTTTACATATTATTCCCCTTAGGTCTTCACCGTGTGAAATCCTCTGGTACTCCTATTATCCTTAAATTACATCTCCTATCCCTATTTTCTTGATCCTCTATCTTTTATATAGCAGTTTTCTTTGTTCTTTTTTCATTTCTATCGTCCGCTTTTCTAGTTTCAAAATAGTTTGGACCTGTTCTTCCACTTTTCCCTCTGTTTCTTCCATTCTTGCTATTATTTGCCCCAAATTTTTCTGTATTATCGCCATCTCTTGTTTTATTGATTTTTCAAGGCTTTGAAACATTTTCTGCTATTTCTCTTTTATTTGGCATTTGTAGTTCCTTTTCTTGTTCTACCACCTCCATTCTTTCTCTCCTTCTTTGACTACTATTAGCCATTTCCAGGGATAGTCTAGGACTTTCTTCCATACTGATTTCCAATACACTCCTTTCACTTAGTCCTTGTTGTCTTTCTGGGCTCAGATTCCCCTGTGAGGGCATATATTTTTTTATTGTACCTGTTTGGGAAATCTTGGGTCCACCTCCTTTGACCCCTTTATTTTTCATGGTGTCAAAGATTTAGTTTACTAATCCAGGCTCTTGGGGGGGATTAATCTTTTTACTGTCCTGTATTTTCACTTTAAATTCCCCTCTGTTAGGTTCTATTCCTTCTGGGGACCTGTACTATATCGCTTTATCCTCTTTTTTTTTAGAACCCCTGGGCAATCTCCCCCCTTACTTTCACTTTACATGTCAGTTCATTTGCATGCATTACATTATGCCTGCCTCACTCACCCTCCTGCCGTCTTCTCTCTTTATTGTGAGGTGACTTCAGGCTCTTCCTTCTGTGGGCTGCAAGCTGCAAACAGCCCCTCCATTTATACTGCTCCTTTTCCTTTTCCCTTCGGGGGAGATTCACCCCAGTGGCTCCAGTCCCTGGTGGTACAGGTCCCGTGCACTCAGGAGGAGAACCGGCATTTCCCTTTGCCTGGGAACGCCAACCGGCTTCTCCTCCTCCTAGTGCTCCTCTGCGGGATGTGGGTTAGCTGTGTTTTGCCATAGACTTCTATTATGTCCCATGGTTTTGGTGTTCTTTCAGAAAGCGCATCAAAACTCCTGCATGCAGGACTTTTTGGTGCCGTTTCAGAAAGCGCACCAAAATGAAGGACATAATAGACGTCTATAGCATAGCGCAGTTAACCCACAAGAAAACCGCGGGTACACTGCACTGCAGGAGAAGCATACTGGTTCAGTGTGAAAGAGCCCTTAGTGAGTCACTGACTTTGAAAACACATGGAGCTAGCAAAGTCTGAACTTCTCTCTTACTTGCTTTTTTCAAGTCAGTGACCGTGTAGGTAGTGAAGTAAAATAAGGAATGTCAGCACTGGAGCTTGCTTCTTTAAAAACCAAGTAAGTAATGGTAGATCCCTAGTTGATATATTAAAAACTTTACTTTCAGAAATGTAAGAGCTTGCCCACGTGTGTTTTGATCTCTGAAGAGCGATCCACATTTGGATCGCTCGTCAGAGAGCATTTGATAGACAATGAGTAGGCATTGTATCCCCTCCTCCCAACCTGCTTTAACCCCTTGAACACTGCACTAGTGCACTTCAGCCGTGTGCATTGCAGAATGACAGGGGGGTATCATTCCTCCCATGGTATGTGTAGATCCCTGGTCACTGCCTTTGCCACTAAAGGGGTAGTGTAAAAACGTGGCTCAAACATAAGCTTTTACCGCCCCTCCACCACTAGTATGAACAAATGGAAACAATGATAGATAAACCTTTTTTTTTTCCTCCATGCTTGCAGCGCTGGAATCCAGTTGATGGATTCTGTGAAAAGCTTCTTCCCAGCGATCGATGGCAGTGGAGTGATGTCACTGGTTTGAAACATCAACAAGCGGACAGTTTCCAGCTCTCCTCACCACACTGGGAATGGGAGTCCGACTGGTATGTGGATGAGAATATAGGAGGAGAACCAACAGAAAAAGGGGTATGTGTCAATTAAATGTGCAAATGTTGAATTAAAGAACTTTACCCAAAACTGTTTTTATTTTTGTTTTTTTTTTTTGAGTATAGTGTACTCAAAAATGACAGCCACCCAGGTCACTTTATACCTAGCAAATGTAAAATGTCTGGCCTCTGGTAATATGACTTTTTTATCTGTAGTTTGTGACACACTCATTCACTTTTTTGGTGGTGTTGCCTACATATAGTAATCCACATGGGCATTTGACTATATAAATTACATAATTTGTCTGACAAGTCTAGTATTCATTCATAATAATCGGGTATCCTTTATGCGGATTAATTACTTTCCTTTGATCATCTTCGTGCAATAAAATGCAATTGAAACGGAAAATATCCCATATTTGTACTGCCAAAAAATGTTCTCTCTGGCTTTTTTGCGAAATGATCTGCTCTGGTGACCTCTTCTGAATGATCATGTTACGCATTGAAACTATGGTAGAAACTCAGTCTTAAAAAGGATGGTATTGTAATACAAAAGAAATCCCCGCTTTTATTACTTCTGTATTCCTATCTAGTCTTTCGTCCTCTTTATTATCTTAGTTTCTTCCCTAACTGCAGTTTCTTAGTTACACCTAGCTATCAGTTTGTGTTCTGTTTCTTTCTATAAGCAGTCCTGATAGGTTCTATTAAAATACTTTAACATTTCCAATAACCTTCCTAAATCAGAAGGTAGCTGAGAAAATCGGCTATCAGGATCAATTTTTATTTGGGCTCCTTTTAGGTCTATTAGTAAACCCCATTTAATTTTGACTGTGAGGAAAATGTCCCGTTTAACACCTTCAATTAAATAGTTTGGCTGTAACCAAGCACATTTGCAGATTCTAAAAATACAATTTTTTTGCTAATTTAGACTTCTTGTTGAAAGTTCCTTTTTCTGAAATAGACATTCAGCTTCTCCTATGGTTGACTGCTTCCCAGTGGTCATCTGAGAATGTCTCATCAATAATCCACCAATGACCTTGAGTTGAAAGAGAAAATAATAACTGTAGTTTTAGATCTCCATGGAAGAGTTTCATATAAATAAGAATGACTCAAATATATAGGCTAAAGCCCTAAAGAATTATTATCAAATGTATATGTTTATTTTCAATAAGAAGAGGAATTGACCACTTAGAATATAGAAGTAATTTACCGCTGGAAAGCCCACTGTGTAAATACAGTACACCACAATAAGGTTTCTTCAGTGATTTTCTTTCATTTCTGCTGTGTCTGTATTTTCTGATAAATTCCTCTTTTACATCATAGGAGCAATGGTTGCAAAAAATAGAAATTAGTTTTTGAGGCAGTTACAGAAAATCATGGCAGACTGCAAACTGAAAATGAAAGGAAAAACATATTCTTCTATAGTTTGTACTTGCCTCAATCCAAGGCACTGAATGTGATTTCTGTCTGTAGTCTCGTTCCTCTGCTATTTACACAAGTAATTTCTGACAGACTGTGTGAACTCCAAGGGATCTAGGGGGAGAAGAAGCGGAGCTCCAGCACACAGCCTGTGATTCACAGCCTCAGCTGTGCATGTTTCCCTATACGATTGTGTAGCGGGAGCTATGTCCCCTCCACTCAGTTATCAGATTACACTCATTTCTTCTCTCTGAGCTGTGCAGTGTGTGTCATTAGATCCCCGTCTCTGACTCTGGAAGCTCAGAAAAGCTGTGTAAATTCTGAACTTTAAATCAGGGGTTTCTAAACAATAGGGCCAAGTTTACTGTCCTTCAGACTTTATAGAAGCAGGAGTATATAAAAATGTTATGACGGAGTAAACAATGCTTCTTTGGTATTAGGGGGAAGAATAGTGCCCCATTGAGTGGTGTCAATTGGAGGCATTTTGCCTCATTGTTGGTGTCAGTGGGAGGAATCGTTCCCCATTGTTCATGTCAGTGGCAGGAATAGTGTCCCATCATTGGTGTCAGTGGGAGGAATTGTACCCTTCATTGGTATCTGTGGCAGGAATAGCACCCCATAATTGGTGCCAGTGAGAGGAATAGTGCCCTATTGTTGGTGTCATTAGCAGGAATCATCCCCCTATCATTTGTACAAGTGGGAGAAATTGTACCCTTTGTTTGTGTCAGTAGCAGTAATAGCGCCCCATCATTGGAGTCAGTGGGAGGAATTGTACCCTTCATTGGTGGCAGGAATAGCACCCCATTATTGTCAGTGAGAGGAATAGTGCCCCATTGTTGGTATCAGTTGGAATGACAATGCCCCATCGCTGGTGTCAGTTGAAGGAATAGTGCCTCTTTCTTGGTCTCAGTGGGAGGAATATTGCCCAATTGTTGGTGTCAATAAGAGAAATCATACCCCATTGTTGGTGTGCATAGTTGGTGTCCGTGAGAAGAATAGTGTCCCATTGTTGGTATCAGTGGGAATAACTATGCTTTATCCTTGCTGTCAGTCAAAGGACTAGCGCCTCATTTTGGGTCAGTGGGGGGAATAGTGCCCTGACGGCTGGATAAAGGAAAGCAAAGGGCCTCATCCGGCCCCCGGCCACAGTTTGGAGACTACTGCTTTAAATGGATGTGGAAAAGAGCTGTAGATAAACAAATGCAACTTATGTAGGAGTTTTTGCTTTATCTCTGTGTACCACCTGAGGCTAGTCATTTCACTGTGTATATGTAAAGCTTCCCAAACATTTTAAGCCATTAAAGCTGACTTTGCGGTAATATGCAGGGTCTGTGCATACTATCCCATTGGTAGCTCTGTTTGTGCACAGATGCAGCACTGTATTAATGTTCAAGCTCAGGAACACAGAGGTAGCTAGGAGCAAGACCGGAGCTGGATAATAGGTAAGTATTCCTCTAGTGATTTTATAAAAATTACAGCAACAGTGGAATTGTTCTGATGGCAAGCAATTACAATTCCTGGTTTGACATATAAAAAAAAAAAAAAAAAAAAAAAGGATAAAACTTTACTGTTCACCATTGATACTGTTATTTTCAAATTTCCAGTTGTATTGAATTACCCCAGTGTGTTTCCTATTGTCATATGTTTTTGCTTATGTTGATTTGTTGAGGAACCATGTTTTGTAATTCCTGATCATAGTTATGTTTTCCTCTGGTATAGGGCTGGACTTATGCTATAGATTTCCCAGCAACATACACAAAGGACAAGAAATGGAATTCTTGTGTACGTCGAAGGAGGTGGATCCGATACAGAAGATACAAGTCTAGAAATTCCTGGGCTAAGGTAAGTGTTTGTTTTATATGAGCCAAAGAATAACTGGGATGTCATCATTACTAAAATCCAAAGCCTACACTGCATTGCCTACTGGCGTGGATTTACTAAAGGCAAATAGACTGCACACTTTGCAAGTGCAATTGCATTCCGTTGCCTTAGAAAATATGGCGAAGCTTCAATTTTTAAAGAATACCCACTCAAGTGCAAGGAAAATTAAAAAAAAAAAAAGCATTTTTGCTTGCATGTGATTGGATGATGATCTCAGCAGAGCTTTACAATATTTACTGCAACTGCATTTGCAAAGTGCATAGTTTATTTGCCTATAGTAATGTCACCCCATTGTGTAATATGTTTACAATTGAAATCCAGCCTGCATCCCATGAACTTACAATATGCACAGACTAGAAAAATGGAATCCTGTTTTCTCTGGTTCACTACATTTATATGGTGTCAGCATAATACACAATTCTTTACAGATTATAATTATCAATTCTTTCTTCCAGTCTTATGTCCAAAGTACTACAGTTATAAAGGCACATTCACACATTACGGCCAGTTGTGGGATGCAACCAAATTACCCAAAAGAATGCAATAAAAACATGGAGGAGCAGAAAAACTCCATGCAAATAATTTCTCTGGTGTTTCTGTAGGCCGCAGCCAACTTTGCCATTTTAATGTGTTTCAGATTCCATCCCACATGGATAACAAGCAGCTACCCGACCCTTTAAATGACATATCAGTGGGAGGATGGGAGATCACAGATGAACCGATTGGACGGTTGTCTGTCTGGACAGTTTCTTTGCAAGGAAAGGTAAATGCTGAACACTTGTGCATTCTGTATATTGCAGTGGGGAACTATTCATTGACCTAGAACAAGTATGCAGATTGGTAAAGTCAAGGAAACAAACTTGTGCCAGGTCGATGAATCAAAGTCCTGAAGCAAAAAGATTAGCATTTTCAGCAGGAGAGGTTTGCATGATAATTTTTCACGAAAGGGATTCTGTGACTAGAATAAAAACTAAAAAATGGTCAGGCTGTAAAGAAATGACTTTATGCCTGCCCACGCACGCTGCAGATCTCTCTGTTGAAGAGCTAAAGATTCCTAAAGAGTCTTCAAAATTTGCTTCTGGGAGTAGCAGATAACTGGTCTTCATTTGTGGTTGGTGGTCTTCATGTGTGCTCTTTGATCTGCTGGGCCCTATGTCAGTTCAGAACACAGGCATGTTGTAGGGGCTGGCAGGTCAAACCACTGTGCTCAGCGGGTGAACATATGTCCCACACACTTGGAAGAGTGTTGGATGTCGAAGAGTCTTCTGCAGTGGTAGTTCCTTCACAAAGCAAAGACTAGTGATGTAGGCAGTGGGACAAGTAGGCATTAAGTCTTTTCTTTACAGGCTTGTTTTAATTGATTTGAAAAAATAATTGTCTCCTGATCAACAGAAAATCGCTACTTTTTTCAAACAAAATTTCAGGTTGTGCTATTAGTGGTTGTGTTGAAGACTGTAGTGTGAAAATAAAATCTTCATATTTGTGCCAGTAAAACTTATTTTATGTTTAGGTTTGGTACAGAGAAAATGTTTGCCATGACAATCCTGAGGGCTCCTCTTGGTTGGAAATAGAAACTCCCAGCGAGGTTATTCAGATCAGTTGTGGCCCGTATGACCTCTTGTGGGCTGCTCTTTGGGAAGGCCAAGCAATTGTGAGAGAAGGTATCAGCAGGAACTGCCCTAAAGGTAATTTATATATAGCTTAATTTAGAAGCAGGCACCTTTGGAGACCTTGTAGAACTCTGATACTAGTATTGATCATCCCCTCAAAATTTATATAATGTTCCACATCAAAATTTCAGTCTTCCCCAAGCTTGTGAGCGGAAACAATTTGCACATACAGTGGGGCAAAAAAGTATTTAGTCAGCCACCAATTGTGCAAGTTCTCCCACTTAAAAAGATGAGAGAGGCCTGTAATTGGCATCATAGGTAGACCTCAACTATGAGAGACAAAATGAGAAAAAAAATCCAGACAATCACATTGGCTGATGTGGAAAGAATTTATTTGCAAATTATGGTGGAAAATAAGTATTTGGTCAATATCAAAAGTTCATCTCAATACTTTGTTATATATCCTTTGTTGGCAATGACAGAGGTCAAACATTTCCTGTAAGTCTTCACAAGGTTGGCACACACTGTTGCTGGTATGTTGGCCCATTCCTCCATGCAGATCTCCTCTAGAGCAGTGATGTTTTGGGGCTGTTGCTGGGCAACACGGACTTTCAACTCCCTCCAAAGGTTTTCTATGGGGTTGAGATCTGGAGACTGGCTAGGCCACTCCAGGACCTTGAAATGCTTCTTACAAAGCCACTCCTTCGTTGCCCGGGCGGTATGTTTGGGATCATTGTCATGTTGGAAGACCCAGCCACGTTTCATCTTCAATGCCCTTGCTGATGGAAGGAGGTTTGCACTCACAATCTCACGATACATGGCCCCATTCATTCTGTCCTGTACATGGATCAGTCGTCCTGGTCCCTTTGCGGAGAAACAGCCCCAAAGCATGATGTTGCCACCCCCGTGCTTCACAGTAGGTATGGTGTTCTTTGGATGCAACTCAGCATTCTCTCTACTCCAAACACGACGAGTTGTGTTTCTACCAAACAGTTCTATTTTGGTTTCATCTGACCATATGACATTCTCCCAATCCTCTTCTGGATCATCCAAATGCTCTCTAGCAAACTTCAGACGGGCCCGGACATGTACTGGCTTAAGCAGGGGGACACATCTGGCACTGCAGGATCTGAGTCCCTGGCGGCGTAGTGTGTTACTGATGGTAGCCTTTGTTATGTTGGTCCCAGCTCTCTGCAGGTCATTCACTAGGTCCTCCTGTGTGGTCCTGGGATTTTTGCTCACCGTTCTTGTGATCATTTTGACCCCACGGGGTGAGATCTTGCGTGGAGCCCCAGATCGAGGGAGATTATCAGTGGTCTTGTATGTCTTCCATTTTCTAATTATTGCTCCCACAGTTGATTTGTTCACACCAAGCTGCTTGCCTATTGCAGATTCAGTCTTCCCAGCCTGGTGCAGGTCTACAATTTTGTTTCTGGTGTCCTTCGACAGCTCTTTGGTCTTCACCAAGGACAGAGTGTGACTGTTTAAAGAAGGTGGACAGGTGTCTTTGAGAGCAAGTTCAAACAGGTGCCATTGATACAGGTAATGAGTGCAGGACAGAGGAGCCTCTTAAAGAAGGTACAGGTCTGTGAGAGCCAGAAATCTTGCTTGTTTGTAGGTGACCAAATACTTATTTTCCACCATAATTTGCAAATAAATTCTTTCCAAATTAGCCAATGTGATTGTCTGGATTTTTTTTCTCATTTTGTCTCTCATAGTTGAGGTCTACCTATGATGCCAATTACAGGCCTCTCTCATCTTTTTAAGTAGGAGAACTTGCACAATTGGTGGCTGACTAAATACTTTCTTGCCCCACTGTATAGTAGTTGAAGGCTCCTTCGCCTTTTACAGGAAGACTAAACTGTGGGAGCATTGAAGCGGAGTGGAACTCCAGCCAACCTTTTTGTAGTTTTGGGTATAATGGGGAAAGAGTTAAGAACAGAGTTTTTTATTACTATGCCTAGGTAGGGAGATTTTTACCTTTCTGTTTGAGCAATGGGGCAGGAAATGTTACAAAGAAGACTTAATGTTTCACATATAAAATGTTTGCGTATTTTTAGTATGCACATATTTTAAATTTTTATTGCAGTGTTTATACTTTATTTACATCAAACTGATCCCACTCATTTACATCAAAACACTGATAAGACTATATATTCCCTTTTAAGCTCTGCTATTATTAAGCAAGATTTAACGGAGGAGGGGGGGGGGGGGGGGGTGGGCACACACAAAAGATTTTTCATTGTGTCAGAAGCTTAATTACATGAAAGCTTTCCCCCTCATATGAGAAACAAAATAGAAGTATTAATTTATTATATTATTATATCTGCTAATCTATGTAATGTAAATCTGCTTTGCATGCTTTCTCTCCTCAATGTCATGCCCTCACCCCCCTTTCCCCTAACTAATCACTGGTATAATACACAAAAAAAATCTTAGATGTCCCTTTTACTTACCTAAATCCCCAGTCACGTGACATTCCAGTCCTGAGTCTTCTCTCTTCTTCCATGAACAGGAGGTGGGGTTCTTTTTTGGGTGTCCATGTCACTGCCTGTGTGTTGTATACAGTTTCTTTTGGCTGTCTAGTGGCCGGGTTCTCTCAGGACCCAGAAAACAATCTGAAGTAATAACGTCAGTGTGAAGGGAGCAGCAGGCACATCTGCAGCGCTGGATTACTTGTTATTTGCACCTAAAAATGGCACCGGTGAGGGACATGGGTAGCGGACTTAGGTGAGTATAGAATTGTTTTTTCGATTAAAAAAAACTGCTAGTGAGTGAGCGGAGGTGGTAGGGATTTTTTTTTTTGTCCAGAAATGGGCTTTAAATGTATTTTTTTACGTTTTCTTCTACACCTAATCTAATACTTTATGCTTGATCATTTACATAATAAAAGCCTATTATGAATCAAGTTGGCAATCCCATTTTAGATCAAACATTGCTGAAAGTGACATAAAATGGTCCTAAAAGTCTTCATTTAACCTCTTCTTGCACATTGTGATAATGCGACAGTACAGAAATTCTCCCAGTGTGCAGATTATGTTGTGTATTTTCTCTGATGATCTCTTTGTAATGGTAGGTAATTCCTGGACTATTGTCGAAGCTCCAACACCTGGAGATGGGATCATGCACGTGTCTGTTGGTGTGAACGTGGTATGGGCTGTGACAAAAGAACGAAAAGTAAGTACTTTATTGCCACACATTTGAGAGTTTTTGAGGAACAAACCTATAAGTGGACCTACCTTATCACTTTGTATACCCTGTACTGAGTTGCAGCAAGTCAATGTTCAATAGATAACACGACCAAACAAAAAAATGTTTGTGTTTTTTTTTTTTGGTGCCTTTTTTTTTTTTTTTAGACCTGTTCTGGGTGTTTATTTTGGATGTTGATTCAGAAAATTGCACTGGCTAAACTTTATCAGCCCTAATTTTTCTTAGATATGTTGGAATTTTTATATTTTTTGGTCAGTTTTTATAAAGATCTTGCTGATCAACTTGTTCTTCTCTTACTTAGATTGTGTTTTTGTGTACAAGTTAGCAGATATAGTGAGAGTGTTTATGTACTTCCAACTATAATTTTACATCAGAAACAGATTATAAAGTGTAAGTTATTAACTGTATTATAGTTATTATTGTATAGATTGTAAGCTCCAAGGAGCAGGGCCCTCCTTTCCCTCTTGTATTGAACTTATTGTTGCTTTATTGTCTCCCGTTCTATTGTAAAGCGCTGAGCAAACTGTTGGCGCTATATAAATTCTGTATAATAATAATAATTGTATAGGAGGTGTGGTATATTGCCACTCTGTATAGGGTTTTCACGGCTTTAAACCTGAAATGAACAACCTTGCAGATGAGCTCCAAATGATATATTTATTGATAATACAGCTGTATGAGAGCATCCATGCCCTGTCCATCAGATGCTCTAATTAGATTGATTGCAGTCCACATGCTTATCAATTACACTTCAGAATATCTGTCTAACAACTTATTGAGACACTTTATCAAACATTCATCATTACTCAGCAGTCTTTTACAACTTATAAAAACATTTAAAAAGTCTTTTTAGCTGCAGAAGCCATTTAGCTGCTAATGGAATATGATTTTTATATATATATCAGCTTATCAAAATATGCTAGTAATATTAGCCATGTCTAATACAATAGACCTTAATCTAAGACACAAATATATATATGTATTAACTGATTTAAACTCTTATTATTGTTATTTTTTTAATATATTGTTATGATGTAGGATATAGTAAGGATCACCTCTATCCCTATACCTTACTCCCTCCTTTTGATCCTTATTTATCATACATCTCACTCCTTGTACACAAATGTACACTGGAGGGCTAATTCCTTTATTTTCAGTATTCATAACTTCTTATCACACATTAGTTCTTAACAATACAAGAAGATGAGAGACATGTAGTCCAGCTGATTCACACGTGACCATTCTGCAGAGAATATCAGGGTTCCCTACAATCTTCTTCTGACCACCTGCCAATGTTATGAAACCCAGTAACATGACACTCAGAGGTGGCAAGCCCTGTGATACCTTACCTATCTCTCATAGGTATGGCTCTCCACCTTCTCCATCCTTTTGCCACTCGGCTCTTCCCCAGTGGATGTTACAAAGGCTTCCTTACTAACTTGCCTATAGATGGACAACATCCCATCCCTGTCCTTTACCGGAACATATAGGTAGGCTAAACCCACCTGTATGTCGGAGGAATGCCTCCAACCGGGGCAGGTACACAACAGAAGGATGCTGTCCTTACGCAATCACACCAGCAAGCACTCATCTTTATTTGCATTTTCACTCTTAGCATTTGCAACACTTTCACACGCTAGCTAATAAAATAACTTCAACTCTTATTTATATATGAATGTCCGACAATTAAAATATTTTTTTCTTCAATTCCTTGTTGCATCCGGGGTCTTGGATTAGGGTGCTGACTCCGTCCACCGCTAGTTGCTGATAGGTCGATTAATGTAGGTTGAGTCCATTTTATTTCAGGATACATCTGGTGAGAAGCTGTGATTGGAGGGCCTTGGGTACTGTCAACCTGAGGCTTTTCAGTCTCCATTTCATCATTAGGTTCAGGCTTGATTCCTTTATCTCTCATTTCAGGGCACGCTGGTATCAATACAGGTAGTTCAAGGAGTGCACCAAATGTTAGGTCAGGGCCTGGCTCATAGACGCGTGACAACTTAGGCATCTTAGTTTCTTCTATGCTGCTATCCATTGTTCCTCTGAATGGGAGCAACAAACACATCTGAGTTTTTCTTAAATTTCTATTGCTTATACACCTTTTTACAAGCACATATACTTAGCTTATAACACATAAATAAGCTTATCATCTAATTTTTCCCAGCTTTGCTTTTAACAGCCCATTATATTTTTTTTACCTTGCCACTTGCATTGGGGTGGAATGGTGTATGCAAGCATTGTTCAATGTTAAAAGCTGTCAGTATTTCCTTCATTACTTGATCTGCGAAGTGCTTCCCTCTATCACTCTCTATTGTCTCTGGGATTCCATACCTGGATACTACTTCCTGTATTAGTTTCTTGGCTGTTGCTGTAGCTTTTCCCACTGGGAAAGCTTCCAACCATCCTGAAAAAACATGTTCGACTGTTAAACAAAATTCATACCTTTTTGGCAGCTGTATGTAATCTATCTGTAACCTCTGAAATGGGTATGAAGTTCTTGGGATATGACCAGACGGTGTTTGTACCTTTTTTTTTCTGGGTTGAACTGTGCACAAATCAAACATGCCTGACAAAATTGTTTTGCCATTGTCTCAATACCTGGCGCAAACCATATTTTCAAAATTGCATCCACCATCCCTCCTTTGGCAACATGAGAAGGAAGGTGTGCCATAGAGCATAAAGCAGGATACATAGAATAAGGGGCATATTGTCTCCCATCTTCATGATGCCATATACCTTTTTCATCCTGTGTGCACCTGGCTTTCTTCCATTTACTTATCTCTTTAAGAGATGCTGCAATTTGCAGCTTTTCCAATGTTTCTTCATCCGGTGTGTTTTTCAAAAAACACACTCTGTAATTTCTCCCTTCACTTAAAGGAAACAGAGCAACTTCTTTAGGAGCTTTGTCTGCTCTTTGGTTTCCCATAGTGATGGGGTAACTTCCTTTAGCATGAACCTTTTACCTTTACTATAGCAACAGAGGCTGGTAAGGTAATGGCTTCCAATAAGGCCATTATCTGAGCAGCATTCTTAATTGGTTTACCTTGAGAGGTTAAATAATTCCTGCTTCTCCACAATGCTGCATAATCATGGACTTCTCCAAAAGCATAATGTGAATCGGTGTATAATATTAAAGGAGTTACCTTCTCTAACACTGCTTTTTCTAAATACATTTTAATCTGTTCTCTGATACCATCCTTCTACTGCTGGGATAGTGGATACTGAGGCAATTTTGGCAGAGGAACTCCTGGCTTTACCTCTACATTGACTGGAGGCACATTCAACACCCCCCCACATCCTCTCTTGAGGTGGCCCAGAGTGTCTCTGACAACTCTTCAAGCACTGGGGGATGTTCTGGGTGTGATGCTGCTGCGACTAGCACATGCAGACTGTCACACACATCGTTGTTCTATTTCACTCAATGGTGAGGCTGCAAAGACTCCCTCTGGCGTATAAGTTATGGTACATTGCAGTTTTGACAAAATATCTCTTCCCAGCAGGTTACAAGGCACTGTATCAGACAACAGAAAGGTGGATTGTAAGGAAACATCTCCTAATTTTATTTGGAGGGGAGGAGTTTCCTTTAACATCACTGTAGAACCATTCAATCCTACAACTGGCACACTATGCCCTGTGGGCAAAGGGGGAGCAATTTGTGTTAATATAACACTTTTACTGGCCCCCGAGTCCACAAGGAAACTGAGTTCCTTTTCCTCAAAGAATGGCATCATGTTCAATGTCAACCCTACAAATGCAACCATCTGTTTCTGATATTACTGGCAAGACTGGGCTTAGTCAAATTTTTTTGACCCATGGCTTTCTGGCTTGTTTCCTTGGTCCCCGACAATCTCGAGCCATATGACCAATTTTACCACAGTTGAAACAAGTCAGATTCTCCCCCCCCCCCCCTTGCAGAGGTCCATTTGGAACCTCACTGGTCAGCATCACACGCTGAGGCTTTTTCCCTTCTATATCATCCATATTCTTTTGTATATTGGATGCTACGGTGGTCAAAGCTTGTAAGCTCATTGTCTTCCATTCTGGATAGCGTATAGTCAGCTTGTCTCTGATGGGTTGGCGCAACTCTGTACCCCACATGGTAACAAGCATAGGTGCCAAGGCAGCAGAGTCTGCATCTTGCCCTGTCTCTGTGACAGCTATTTTAAATCTGTCAGTGTATTCATGTACCTCCTCTTTACTCCACTGTGTCATTGTACTCCCCTTGGTCTAGGAAGCTGCAGGGAATATTTTCCCTTTTTCTGCCTTCAATTTAGTGCACTGAGTTATTGCTGTCTCAGAGGAATCCTCTGGGGTTGTCAGTGTTTTAGCCAAATCCTCTGGCTTCTACAACCCTGCTTCTAGTATCATAAATAGTAATAGTGCAGCGCTGTAATGCTAATAGGAATACAAGTAAATAAAAGTGAGATGAAATAAAAAGTTCATAAAACAAGTCCTTTATACAATAAAAGGTGATTGCAAGCAAAAATCGTATGAAGACCTCCTCAGCATTAGATAGATGACTGGAAACAAATAGACAAAATGCGCACTCACCGACCGCGCATTTAAAATGCGCATGTATGCAGTTTTATCCAGATAATCAGCCAGGTATACGGATCAGCCAAACGCATAGGTCATCCCTCTCAGGAAAAAGACATCCGCCTTGGGTGCAGTAATATGCCTCTAGGTCCAGAGAACCTCCTCCCTCCGGATGTCTTTTTCCTCAGAGGGATGACCTATGCGTTTGGCTGATCCGTATACCTGGCTGATTATCTGGATAAAACTGCATACATGCGCATTTTAAATGCGCGGTCGGTGAGTGCGCATTTTGTCTATTTGTTTCCAGTCATCTATCTAATGCTGAGGAGGTCTTCATACGATTTTCGCTTGCAATCACCTTTTATTGTATAAAGGACTTTTATGAACTTTTTATTTCATCTCACTTTTATTTACTTGTATTCCTATTAGCA